GTAGCCACTCTCAACATCCAGGAAGGGGATGCCCCCACAGCCAATCATGCTGTGCAGGGAGGGGGGTCCCCCGTGGCCAATCATGCCTACTTGGGGGGCTGGACCAGATGATCTTGTAAGGTCCCTTCCAGCTCCTAACAACTATGAAAGGAACGAGTCCATGTGAGCTGTGAGCCAGGCTAGGTAGTAATAATGTAGGTGCCATAACTAGCAGACCTTTTGCTTTATCTAGTTCAGTGGTTCCCAACCCCAGGTCGCGACCCGAATGAGGCTCACGGGGCAATGCTGGCAGTGCCACACAGAAAAGGGGAGCCGTACTGTGTGCCGGGAGCTCCCCTGCCCCTGGACCACTGCCACGCTCCGCTCCCACCAGTGGGGCATGGAAAAAAAGGTTGGGAACCGCCGATCTAGTCCATGGGGCAGGTTCCTGGCTGGTGTACGTAAGCATAGTCGTCCTGGAGCTGTGCTGCCGGACGCCGCTGGAAGAGCTGGCCATGAGGACCCTGGCAGATGTTGCACTGTAATCATTTTGTGGCTGGTTGCATTGTGTCTTAAAATGAACTTGGGTCCAAATGGCCCCCAGTGCAGTCGTTGCCAGCTGACGAGCCCTGGCAGGATTGGGACCACACTGAAGCACGGACCTCAGTGCAGTCTCTGCTAGGTAACCATCAGCTGATCGTCATCTGGCTCCAGGGGCTCAAACTAGTCCTTTGGGTTCCCAGAACCAGCTGACAACTGATCATAAGGCACCTTTGCTGTTGCAGACTGAGCCCAGGATCATGGCAAGTAGGGCGCAACTGGAGTCTGATATCTGATTCCCAACATCACAGGTCCTGCAGTACACGTGGCATAACTGGTGGTGTAATTTTTGGGCTCACGCATCAGATCCTGTCACTTCTTTAACTGAATGTCTCTTAGCAGTTTGCATTTCTTTCTTTTCCTTTCTTCTGACGGATGCATTGCCACAGTGGCAAAACTCACCATCCTGCTTTAAATTCAGGACTCCTTCCAAACAGGGGCGGGCAATTATTTTGGGCAGAGGGCCGCTTACTGAGTTTTGGCAAGCCATTGAGGGCTGCAAGACAGGCAGCCCAGGGCAGATTAATATTAATTTTCTAAAATTTTTAGGGGCCCCGCAGACCACATCCAGCCCCCAGGCCACATTTTGCTCCCCCCTGAATTAGGGACAATGTGAATTGAGAGTACCTTTCTTGATCTTGAGAATCTTTCTTTAGGCCTCCAATGCTTACTCAGGCTACAAGCTCCGACCCATTATAAGCCTCTCCTCAGTCACTATTGGCATTCAGAAAAAAGTCTTCCTATTTAGAGAGCATTTGTCTTCAAATCTGAGGTCTTATTTGTATTAAGGTAAACTTGTTAAAAGGTTTCTTATTTCTACCTCCATAAGTGTTGGGTTTCCCTCTCCTAAGTTGCCTTTTTTTCTCTTTCAGTTTGTTGTGAGAGATCTCAGAAGGCATGTAATGAAAACTGGACTTAGAACAGAAATGCAAATGTTGGACTCTAACCTGGGAGGAGGCTGTTATCAGGTTTCAGTAGTTGTAAAATGAATTGTGTTCAAGCATGGCAAGGTGTTTGTGTTTTTAAACCTATGCTCTTCTGGCTTGGGAAAAATATAGCTGTGATGACACTATCTTGAACGCAACTAAAGTTGACAGGAACAGAGGAAGGCGTTTGGGACATACCCTCCCCTATTAAAAAAACACTGTTATTTACTGTATGACTGATAGGAAAGTAAATTGATTACTATAGGAATCTCTGGGTAATTAATAACCTGAGATCCAGTCCAGCAGTTTTTATCCATACTGTGTGGTACTTAGTCCAATTGAACTTAATAAGGCTATTTGTGCAAATAAGGGATAAAGAATCAGGATGCTTGTTTCTGTCTCTCTTAATATCTTTCATCTAGATTCCAAACTATTTTACAACTGGAGAATCAAATTCTGCCCAGATACTCTATTGATCATCAAGGTAGCTTAAACAATTAAAAGACACCCTACTTAGCATCTCTCCATGGCAAGAAATCACAAGCCACCAATCTTTGAGAGCAAGACATCCAAAGAAAGCTGTAGAGGAGAAGAGGCCATGGGTTCCTTCCCTCATACTGGTCAGCAGGTACATTTCAGGAAATGTGCTACATCACCTAAAGGAGTGTAGAATAGTCTTGCCATGCTGTCCCTATGGATTGTGGAGCTATAGAGGGGCCAGTGTGAACCTTTAGCTGACTGGTATGATAGAGCCCTGGTATTTATGTTTAGCAGTACTAATTTATGCTAAAGTCCATTTATGCTACTCTGACAGTGCAAGGGGTTTTAAAGCCTGAAGTGCAACTACTTTTAGCATAAAAGATAGCAATCCACATCTGACAGCTACACTATACAGCAGTTTAGGATGTTCAATACAGTATACTGTGGCCAATAGGAACTGCAAGGATAATTTATGCGGGCAGAATTAGAATAAGAAAATGTATTTTTATATTTACATGTGGCAGTGCAACCTCAATAAGTCTGTTGAATAATGAAGGCACTGCTATCCAGATGAAATGCAGTCAAATAGTAAAGCATTCCCTTTGGCTATTCTGTTCTTACATTCACCACTAGATTGCATTGTAGTTCAGTGATTAAAAATGTCAATGAATGCCACAGAGCGCAAAGTGCTAGCTTTGGGCACCATGGCTCAAAACTTTAGATGTTTATTCAGTATATTCATTTCTACAAAGTCCCTGCTACATTTTTAGAGACCTTATTGAAGTTGGTCTTTTACACTGGTCTTGCATTGCGGTCATCACAGTAGTGTCTGCAGTCTTCATATAATTGTTTGTTTGGGTTTTTTCTGCTTGAATTTATAATCTTTGAAGAAGATAACAATCTAACTTTCTTTTTAAAAAATATTTTCAGAATGATAAAAATAAGAGGAATGAAGGTAGTGCTTTAACAAAATAAACAACACCATTTACAGAGTGGTCAAAAAGGATCAAAACCTTTTTAAAGTTAAGGAATACCTACATGGGAAAAATAGCTGGTAGGGGAGAACTCTTAAATTGGATAACAATATTTCTGTTAATCCATTAATGCACAAAGTAAGAAGAAATGGTAATAAATATTTTGGATAGTTGAAATGTTCTCTTGATTAAAGTTGTACAATCTTAGCAACAGAAACACTAAACCATGTTTATTCCAGGTACTTAGAATCTTGTTGAGAGTATAGTAACAACTTACAAAACCAACATGTTTTATGTTACTTTCTATTGGAAAAATATATTTTTAATATTAGGTGTTAACAGTTCTTACATGCTATTTTCCTTTTCTTGCACAGCGGTGAGGAAAATTTTATCTCAGGTCTTATGAACATTATTTGTATATACAACATTTGAAAAGTTGACAATATCCTTCTGTTCTATTTTTGAGGTACTATAAATACCTGTGGCCTTTATAATACACTGAAGCATTGTTCTGATTAAGTTAACCGTCCTTGTGTTTTAGGGAACAACATAAAAACCCTTACCTGAAATCTGACAGCCTGCTTTAATTGTATATTTACAGGCTGTGTGTCAGAAAATCCCAAATTTACACAGCAGGGTCTTTTCAGAAATCATCAGCTGAACTTGACAGTAGAGCTTTGTTATAGCAATAATGTTGGCCTTTAGATTTCACCCTAGTTTTACGTCAGTGATGCCCTTTGACAAGTTACAGCAAGGGGAGTTTAGGTTAGATATTAGGAAAATCTTTGTTACTAGGAGGGTAGTAAAGCACTGGAACAGGCTACCCAGAGAGGTTGTGAAATCTCTGTCCTTAGAAATTTTAAGACCTGGGTAGGCAAAGCCCTGCCAGGGATGATATAGTGGGGGATGATCCTGCTTTGAGCAGGGGGTTGGACTAGATGACCTCCTGAGGTCTCTTTTAACCCTAATTTTCTATGGTTCTATGAATTGGAGTTAATCCTGATTTGCACCAAATTAAGTAAGAATAAGTACTGTTTGCAAGGTACTTTTTGTGAGTTGTCATGTGGGACTTAATATTAGGCATGGACAGAAGTGCTTTTTGTTAGATCAGGGCAAAATGTTCCCTACTTGCAGAATCAAGTCCTTAATGCAGTGATTCTCCACCAGGTTGCCTGGAGAGCCTTTCAAAGGTGCTGTAGCTTGCTATGCAATAATAGCATGGTTAGATGTGCAAATGATTTATAAGGAAAACCCAGAGATTTCAAATGGGAAGCCATAGTGTTAAAAGCATTCTGACCTGTTATGGTCTTTCTGAATTCCATGCAACAGAAGAATTGCTTTATTATTTTTCTGTAGTCAAAAAACAAATGAAAACTAAGAGCTGGCATTTTCTGAGAGGTGCCTTAATTCTAACAAGGGATATATTGGGGCTGAGAAGATTGAGAACCACTGCCTTTATGACTATTCCCTTTGTACAAATATGAGAACAGGCAGTTCCATTCCCTTGTTCATTTAAGGAATATTTTTCAAAAGTGACTTCTGATTTTGAGTAACAGTTTGTGAGTGCCCACATTCACATACCTTTGGCCTGATTTTTAGAAATGTTGAAAGCTCGCAGCTCCTACTGATTTAAGTTGGAGTTATAGGTTCTCTGGCCTGCTGAAAATCAGGCCCCAAATATCAGCTAGATTAAAGAATCCAGAGTCAGAGATTGTTTTATAAAAATCATTTTCTTATTTGGAATCTTTATGCAATATTTATAAACATGGTGTAAAATCATGTTGTAACATTGGGGTTTCAGAAGGAATAAGACCAGACCATTTTTTCTAAAAGTCTAACACAAGGGTGCCCAGCCCCTGGCCCGTAGGCCATGTCTGGCCTGTGGGGCTCCCCACGGATCCAGAAATTTGACGGTGGGCCAGTAGTGGCACCACTCTCCTTCTGTCAAATTTTGGGATCTGGGGGGAGCCCGGGCCTTGTGCACTAGATCAGGTGCTTGATCCTGGTGTGTGGGGCCGGATGGGGGCAGTGTGGGCTTCCAGGAGCCAATCTCAGCATCCAGTGGCAGCACCAGGCCCCAGGGTCCAATCCTGGCACATGCTGGAAGTGCTGGGCTCCAGGGCCTAGTCCTATCCAGACATCTGGGGCTAGGCAGAGGTGATACCAGGCCCCAGGACCTGGTCCTATCTCGGTATGTGGGGCCTGATCCTGGCATGTGGGACTCAGTCCAGCCTGAGGACTGGCCTTGCACTTCCCATCAGGCCTGTGGGGTCAAAAGCTGAAACACCACTGGTCTAACAAAGTTTAGTGCACCTAGATCCTGAAGAAAGGAGCACCTGCTTCCCCTAAATTTAATAAGTACCATCCCTAAGCAAAAGAATACAGTTTCAGTCCTTTTCCTTCAGCCTATCTTTTAAACTGAAACCACTGCAACTCAGCTGACGGGGGAAGGAAGCTCATTACAGTATATTAAGAGACGTTATTGTTTCTCACTTGGTTTGCGGCTTGATTGTCTTCTCAGCTTTCTACTACTTTCCTAACCAACTTGCTCCTCCACAGCAGGACTTTTCCAAGCTTGATGCATACCCTGGTATTAGAATTCCAACACTCTACCTTATATAGAAAGAAACTTTCCCCTAACCCTTTGCTCCTGCCTCTCTTCATGCCCTCTAGCCTTTTACATGTGCAAAAGTGTCTTTCACATACAGTTGTAGGATCTGGATCAAGGGAATGAACTGTAATTAACTCTACCATTTACGTCCTGACATGGCCAGAGCCTTTTTGTATTACTGTATATATATTTAGAGAAGTCCCCCTGAACTTGGTAAATTTCAACAGGCTGGCTGTAGAGATACTTTGTCACAGATGTTGCAAGAGCAGCTGTGAAAGCTTCCTTATGCCTCTCTCAGCATGCCATGGTTTTGGCAGCGTAATGAGCCAATGCTAGTATCCATGTCTTCAAAAATAATTTGATTCTACTCTGCTGGAGATATTTATGGAGTTCCTATAAACTTGTTACGTTTGATGCCTATTTTCTGAAAGCACCCTATGCCAATTGTATATATGAATATACATTTGAAAAACTATTTACACATTCTGTAATGATCCATTAATTTCAGATCATCATTAAATCTTTCACATGTCTTTTACACAGCTAAATTTGACTGTTAGTAATTACATAAATAGCTGCTAAGCACCTATTGCATATGCATGACAGAGACAGCTGCAGCCTATTTCATTCTCTATGGTCATTAGTAGAGATTTAGCTCAATTAAGAAAAAAAATGTGCAAATCATGTTAATTCATAATATGAAGTGATAGCCAATAGTTATTACCAGTATAGAATTTTTCAAATTAGAAGTTGAAGAGACATTGTCAGTTTGATTGTTTTTGATTTTTTTTTCATCTAGACTACTTTTTTAAAACTATTTTTTTCTTTTTCTAAGCTTTTGAACAGTATGTTTAGAATATTTTTAGTATTTCTTCCCACATATCTTTTAAATGGGGTGGTGCTTCTGTGACTTTGTAGCTCAGAAATCGTAATTTTTCTTTTTTGGTCCAGAGACTCTCTTTAGTCTGTTTCACTCAGCTTTTGGGCATTTTATTGGTGATGCCTCAGTGTTCTCCCATATAGTGGATTATGAAGATTAAGTAAAGGAAACATGGCAAGTTGCTGATTTCTCCATATTTTTCAGACAGGAAGAAAATGAGAGTGCATTTACCTACAAGATACCAGTATTGTATGGACTTGCATAAAACATTCTTCAAATTTTTCACTTGCCCGGGCCTGACACATGGTGGCAGGGCAGACTTGTGGCTGCTGTCTCTACTACTGCACATGCTGTTCTGTTGGCAATTCCACCCTGTTAAACTAGCATCCCCAGAAGCATAGATCTTTCTTGATTTATTTTCTCTCTCCTCTCCGCTAGATGGCAAACAAGCTATGCACAATAAAATCAAATAGGAGTTTATGTAATCCCCTTCATATCCAAGGTTTCCTCAAAATGCTTTACAAAGTAGCAAGACAGATACTGGCAGTAAGTAAATGGAGCAACTATTATGTTTTTGCACATAGCTTTCATTTTTTTTTCTCCTTGAGGAAGTAAATTTGTTCGGATGTTTATGCTATTAACTCTAAAGTGTCTTGGGAGATTTAACTTTCTATTACAAACCAGCATTGAGTAGAAAGCTCAAATCTGTGTGAGGAAGTTAACCTACTAGACTTCTAGTTGGCTGAGGTTTTAAGTGCTGCCATATAAGCCATGCCAGCAATATAAGATTTAGAATAAATATGTACTCCTTATTCTTTGTTTTGTAATTTGTCAAGTGGGGTATTAGCTGTCTAACAATATGTGTGCTTTGTTCCAAGAGGATAAATTGTTTTTGCTTGAAGGGATATTTGCAGCTCTGCAGATAAATGTGAGTTACCCACATTGCAGCTCACATTACTGTCAGCTGTTTGGATATTAACATTATTATTATTATTATTATTATTTGTAATATGATAGTACTCTGAAATCCCAGTCAGGGATCAGCACCCCTTTTGTGTTAAGCACTGCACACATACAAATTAAAAAATAATCTCTAGTGGCTATCTTCAAAAGACTCAGCATGCTTTCCAGCTCAGCTATTTTTACCTCTTATTTTAAAAGTGGAAGCAAATAAATAGTAGGGTAGTTATTATATCATCTTCTACTTGTAAAAGTTGACAAAAATTTCATAAATCCTTTGATTGAGGCTGGTAATGATAAATACTTTTGACCATAGAAAAACTTATAGTTAGTTAAATATGCTCTTTTATGCATCTTTACTCTAATTGAGGATCACTAGAAAAATGTTCAGTGAAAATTACATTAATATTATTAATGATAACAAATACTATTGCATCCTATATCTGTCTCATCATTTAACTGTTAAAATACTTAGAAACTGCTAATGCATGACAGCAATCAATTTTTATTTTTTGGTAACAACATAAAAAAATTAAAAACTGATCCAGTGGATTGATCCAGCTGCATTAATTTTGAATGTTGTAAAGAGCTCCAAAAGCAGTTGGATTTATATGGAGTTCAGCAATTTTTTGCTTTTCATGGCTTCATCAGACATTTTCTTCAGGCTTGATATATGCAGGATTTCACTTTCTGTGTTCCTCTTTCACTGCATGTAAAAGACAAGCACAGCACTTCACCTGGGTTTACATGAAGATCACATCTATAGTTCAGGCTTGCCTGCAACTGGGGAAAAATATCTCAAACCTTAATGAGTCTCAGCAAATCTGTCTTGTCTGAAGATTGTTACAAAACCTAATGAATTTTAGTTTGGGGTTTGCTAAGAACAATTTTCATGTCTTGCTCTGAAAATGGCCAGTAGGTGCTATGTAGAAAGAATGGAGATATGTTCCTGTAACTGGGGACCTAAACCCTATTACTTAGGTATAATGGAAGAGGAGGAGAGGGGACTGTAGCAGGGAGCCAGGGGGCTCCTGTTCCTTAAAGATGGGGTGAGCAATTATTTGGGCCCGTGGGCCATGTAGGTAGTTCTGGGGAGCTGTTGCAAGCCGGTCAGCACCCCCCACTATCCTCACAGCAGCAGGGAGCCCACGTGCCAACAACGCACAGTCCCATCCCAGCCCCCAGCTCATCCTGCCTTATGAGGCAGGTCAGGTGGTGGTGGTGGCTCCTTCTGGCTGCCACTGCTACTGGCCCCAGCCAGGGTACTGGTGGGGACCTGCATGCACAGCCTCAACCCCAGCCTGCCCCGAGCCTTCTCTGGACTCGGCTGGTGGAGCAGACCAGCTCCGGATCGGCTGGAACCCTCATGCACAGCCCTGCCCCGGCCTGCCCCTTGCCTGTTCTGGACCACCCGTCCATGATGAGCAGTGGCAGCGACCAGGAAGAAGCTGTTGCTGGGCCTGGGGGAAAAGTGGCCCCTCAACCTCGATGATGCCTGGCCCTTCTTGGTGCAGCTGCCCAAAGTCCATGCCCGATCTGCCCTGCTGCTCCTCTCTGCTGCTGCCACTGCTGCTGCCTCTGGCCTGCCCAACAGGGCAGTGGGGGCAGTGCAGAGGAGCTGCAGGACAGCCCAGGTGTGGCATCCAGGTGGCTGCAGCAGGAAGAGTCCAGCAGCAGTGAAGGGGAGGGCTTTCCCCCATGCAGAACAGCAGCTTCTGCCCAGGTGCCACTGCTGCCGCTGCAGAGTGTGGGCAAGCGAGTCCGGAGCAGGCGTGGGGCAGCCTGGGGTGGGGCTGTGCACATGGGTTCCAGCTGATCTGGCCTGGTTTGCTCTGCCAGGCCGAGTCCAGAGTAGGTGCGGGGTGGGCCAGGTTGGTACTGTGAGCACAGTCCCTGCCAGTACCACGGGGCTGGGGCCAGCAGCAGCAACAACCAGAAGGAGCTGCTGCCACTTGGGCTACCTAGAAAGGCAGTCGAGCTGTGGAGCTGCCCCAGCCCCACTGCATGCTTAGATGGTGGCAGGACATGCCACGGGCAGGATGGTGCCCGGGCTAGGTGGGACCAAGGGACCTGCTGTGGGCTGGACAAAGTCCCTTCGTGGGCTGGATCCATCCCACAAGTCTTATTTTGTCCACTCCTGCTTTAAGAGGATGCAGCAGGTTAAGCGAGCTGTGTGGGACTGCAGCTGCAGGAGGGCAGGCTAGCCCTTAATTAACAGGGAAAAGCCCTGTGTGGGGCTGGGGAAGGCATATGGCAGAAAGGGGGCAAGGCTTCCAGGCATACAAGCCCAGGGCCTGAGACAGAGCAGGATGTTTGGCCTGGCATGCTGCAGAGGGGGGAGCTCCTGAGCGAGATGCCTGCAGCAGATACTGGCAGGCACCTGAGCTGTTCCCTGGAGCTGCCAGGAGAGAGCTAAGGGGAGCATATGGCTTTAGTGAGGCCACAACCCACTTTAGTTGTGAAGCTGTGGCTTGTGCTTATGTTATGATTTAAGCTTGAGACTGGCGGACCGGAAATGGCTAATAGGGGAGGTATGAAGGCTATGGAGGGGTGCCTGATGGTCACTCAATAACAGACAGCTTAGCCTGGGATCAGGGACCCAGAGGCATAGGCGAAGCATGGAGGGACAAAGGGACCCAGAGATACAGAAAGAGCTGAGGCTGAGAGAGCTGGGTCCAAACCAGTGGGACAAGGCTGAAAGCCTGCAGCCAGAGAAAAGGGGGGCCAAAGCCAAGAGGGCTGAGGCCTATACAAAAGGACAGAACTGTGGACAGAGTAACATCTGTGAGGCATGGGTGTGGCTGTAGGGTCAGAAAGAGGCCATGAATTTAGCCCTTAAAGCAAGGAGGGCCTGAGGAAATGAGCAGAGAGAGAGAGAGGAAGAGAGAGAGCACCCGAGGCTCACCAGCCTCTGAGGGCAGCTTCCCCTTTTTACCTTTTAACATTGAGGTGTGGCAGATGAGGAAGCAGGGTAGGTTGGAGCTCCCTGGGAGCCTGGAGCAGGAGACAGCAGGATTGCAGCAGCCCTTGGGTGTCATCCTGTCACAGTTTTATACAAATCCAAGTTTTGAAATTGAGAACCTGTGAATGCATCTACACATTTATTAATGCACAGTAGTTACTTGCTTAATGAAGTACTAACTAAATGCACAGTAACTACAGTTACTGCGCAGTAGTGCTGGCGCACATTTTTTTTGTGATGCTTACTGCGCAGTAACCTAATGCTATTATGCAGTAGCATATTGGCATGGTTTTTGCCTGGCATGCTACTGTGCAGTGTTGTTAGGTTGCTTCACATTAAGTGTCTTGTGTAGATGCGCCCAGTATATACCTTAGTTGATTTGTAATGATAAGGTTTTTACTTGGGTTAGTATTTCTTCACTGTGTACCTATAGGATTCAATTCTGCCTCAGTGACTGAATATATAGCTTGTTCTACACTAGTGGCTCTTGGTGGAGTTGTGTAGGG